GTGGTCGCAAGCACTTCTTTCCTCCCAAGTGATTGAAAAAGCAAGGGGGTCCCACCAGCCAGAGCCCCCAACCAGGGAAAGGCAGGAATTCCGTGTGAGTTCTGCAGAAAAAGACGTACGCACATACCCCCACACTGCAGGCCACCAGGCTGGGGAACGGTGCCTCCTGGAAAGAGCCTGGCCCTCAAGTTGCCTGTCGGCGGATACATCCCAGGGGCCCTCCCGTGGGTCCCCGTGACAGAGCTGGTCTGCAAGGGTGGGTACCTGAAGGGTGACGTTGAGGGGCTGGAAGTGACACGGCAGGTCCTCCAGCTGAATGAAGTTGGCCGCGGCCACAGACTCGCCGTACACAAAGGAGGTTGGAGACACGATTCTGAAAGAGGAAACCACGACATCCATCATCCCAGCCCGTGGTCACGCCGCCCAAGGTCACCCCTGTCTTGAGAACCCAGCCATCTGGCTTGGGAACCTGGCTGTCCCTGGTGCCTTCCAGCAATTGCTCTCCTTCTGGACTTGGCACTTCTCTCTCCCGTTCATGGACACGGCCAGACGTCTGCTTTCTAAGCAGACGTTTCCAACAGTGACTTCTCACCGTAGGTCAAATCAACAAGCTGCATATGTAAGTATGTCCTGGGATTATATTTCTAAAATGATGAGGAAGGCTCTGGTAGCTTTGACTTCAGGTTTAAAAAAACACACTGGATTACAAAATTATTCATGTTCTGTTTTGTCCCTGGAAAACTTCCTGTAAAGTGAGAAAGATCATGGCAAGCTTTTAGGAAATAAACGTAAGTGAATTATAGATTTGGCATCCTAAACTCCACCCAGTGACAGATTCATTTAAAAAATGTAAATGTGTCAAACTATTCAAAATTATCAGAAATTCAGCCTTGAAAGTGGAGGCTGTTCGATGACAGCATTTTTCTTCCGATTTCTCACAGGGGCTGTGTGAGTTGTGACGAAGCATGCAAGCTCAGTTTGCAGCATGCTTTCCACGCTGCCCGTATCAACACGTCCGAGATGAGACGAAGCCTAGAGTCACTCAAATTTCCAGACCAATAATGGGTTCTAGATGAGATTCTAGAAGCTGCTCACTGGCCTAAACACCAACAAGGTAAGGTCTGGGGTACCAAGTCTGCATGGACAGCCATGCATCTATTTTCAACTTAAGTGCATTCCTTTAGAAATGTCTTATCCAATGGCAGGACTGGTTCCTGTGCTCGCCCTGTTTTGTGGTCCTGGAGGGATCAGAGGTTGACCCATGTGTTTAACCGATGGCTTCATCTGAGGCTGTTCGCACCCCCCAGTGAGGCCGCCCAGGGCCCGACAGCAGGATCAGACAACAGGATCAAGGGAGCCAGTGTTTTCTCTGTGGTCCCCGGGGACAGGGCTGGGTTCAGGGCACATTCTCACTGTGCCTCTGATGAAACAAGTAAATAAACTACCTGGATAAACACAGAGCCGTGAACAAAGGCAAATCTACATGCTAATGAGCAAATATATCCCACCAGTGCCTCAAGCCTGAAGCCCATGATGAAACATGCCAGGAGCACGGGCCTGCCCATTCCCGGGCACCCGGCAGCGTGCGCTATGGCGGTGATGGCTCCTTCTGCTCTGCATTAGCGTTTCTACTGCTGGCCACCGGGGCCCAGAGCACTTGAAAACTGAAAAGAGAGAAACCCTGAACTTCCAGAAGGTCAGCTTGCATTGGGGACAGGGTTCCATGGATCCTCATTTGATCCAAATGATTATGCAAATGCTTTCCCCACCATCCATGAGGTTATGTGCTCTGTTACCTGAAGCCTGAAACAGGAAGTGGGTTCTCACTTCCCAGGCCTGGGCTTTGGCTGGTAATTGACAGGGCTGTTTTGGGGCCACAGGCCTGCTTTCCAGCAGTGCCAGCAGCACACGGATGGCATGGCCTCCCCCCGCCAGGGGGGTGGGGCCCATCCTGAGGGTCCCCTGCCCACTCCAGACCAGCAGACATTGGGCAGAGCTGCCGGCTCTGCAGGAGGGGTTAACAGAGACACAAAGCCAGCACTACTGCGAGCCAGCCAGGCACTGGGACAGCACTGGCTGCAGCCTCTGGCTGGCCCCATAGCCGCTGGCTGAGATGTTAGTCCCAGGAACCATGCCGCCTGCTACCACGAGGCACTCTGGAGGGGTGGATGCTGGGATACTTGCATATAGAGGTGGACAGGACGTTCAAAGAAATGAAGGGCCTTAAACTTGTCGTCAAGCTTCTTGCATTACCTACTGGGTGGGTGGGTAGGTGGTGGGGAAAGAGGGGAAAATGAGGAGGGAGGAGGGCATGAGTCCCCGGAGCTGAGCCTTCACCCTGCATTTCAGAGCGGGGGAGACTAGAGGTGGCGGGGCCACTGACTCCAGGCTACAGGTGCAAATTCAAGACAGACACAGTGTCCCCTGCAAAGCACCTCTGTGATCTGGCCACCCAGGCCTGGGCTACTCACCCTGTGATGGACGTGTCCACTTCGTGCATCAGCGGCACCATCAGCGTGAGGGTGTTGTCGTGCAGGGACTCGGAGCGCTCCGTGTTGCCGCTGTGCGGGAAGAGCAGAGCGGACGCGGTCAGCACCGGGCCTCGGGCAGCAGCCTCGTGTGCTCCGCAGCAGAGCTCAATCTACATCCCCCCAGGGTCACTCTGCACGTGATGCGTCCTCAGCTCTGTTTCTGGGCCCTGTACAGAGCCACAGGGCACCCTATTGTCTCGGTTGTGTTCCCCTTACATAGATGTGGGGAGCAGACCCCAGGAAACATGAGTGGAGAAGAGAGACAAGGCACGGGAGGAAGACAATGAAGGCATGTGACCCAGGAGGTGAGGGCTGTGGGTCTGGCTGGGGAACTCCGGGAGGCAGTCTTCCCAGCGGAGGGCAGGGAGCTGGGCCCTCGTCCTGAACTGACTCCTGAGACCGGCTGCTGCTGGGGGAGGGGGAGTGGGGCCATTAACTCCCTGGCACCTCCCTGTGCTCACAGGTGAGTGGGCTCCGGACAGAGGAAGCCTCAGGCAGGTGGCGGGTGCCGGGAGCAGGTGAGTGCCGAAGGGTATGGATGGGCACTGGCAGCGTGAGTACTGCTATGGGTGCTTGTTCCAGGAAGAGCGGACCAGCAAGGTTAGGGCACCGCAGCCAGGAAGGGACGTGCCAGAATTCACAGCCATTTCCCACCTGGAGGCGGCGCCCTTTTTCCACGGACAGGCAAGCCCAGGAGGGGGGACCCGACCAACCCCGTCACCAGCAATGGTCTGGGAGCTCCCGCTGTGGGCTTGAGGCTACAGTGTGTCCACAGACAGGCATCCCCTTTGGGGTGAGAAAACACGGGACTGGGATTCTTGTGAGGTCATCCTGGAAAGGCCAAAGCAAGGGAGCAGCAGCTGTGTGGCTGCCGTGCCAGGGACTCCCCACCTGGGACAGGTAAGGAGCAGAGAGACTGGGTAACGGCCCCAGGGACCCAAAGCAAACCAGGTCAGCCCGACTCTTTCCCAAGCAGGGCTTTTCCACTGGGATCCCCTTGCCTGATCCTAGGGCTGGAGGTTTGGGGGGAGAAAGGGGAAGAAGGAAGAGGAGGAAAAGACGAGAGAAGACCTAGTTCCCCTTTGCTATTTAATTAAATCTCAAATATGAATCGCGATGATTATTCCAGGGAAGTGACCACCTTGGTCAAAGGCATGGCTGTTGGGTGCATGTCGCTGGACCTGGCATTTATGGTTGTTTCTATCACATGGCGTGAGTATGGGGCTCCGGCAGCAAGCCAAGTTCACCCTCCAGGGTGGACATGAGTCTCCCAGACCCGCTGAGGTTCGTGCACTTCTCCCATCACACCGTTCCCTGCCCATGTGCAGAGTTCCCGCCTCCCCTCCCCCTCCCCCCTGCCCTCCCGCTCCCCCACTGCCTTCCTCTCCCACCCAGCAAGTGCTGAATGCAACACTACTTAAATAGCGCTCACATCCCCTCTCCCTCTCTCCCCTATTGTTCTGAAACAATGACGCTCCCGACCCTGACCCCAGACTCCTCATCTGTCTTCCGCCTATGGGGTGACACCCATCGCTCAGAGGGCAACCACCACCCTTTGCAAACGCAGCAGCAGGTGCCTCACTTCCTTGCCCTTCCTTCCCGGGGCAATGAAAGCCGGAGGGTCACTGCTATGGGCAGACCAGAGAGGAGACCCGCACGCACGGATGGATGGGGTGGCAACCCTGGGCCTGCCCCTCCTCCCCCAGCATCCTGCCAGGTCTGCGGAATCAGTTCCTGCTGGAAGCGCCACCCCTTGCCCTGCCATTTGTCCAGCCACCTGTGGCCGCTGGCAGCTCCGGCCCAGCAGTGTCGTCTGTCACCAGGGGCCTGCTCCAGACGGAGCTAAGTTGACAAGTTGAGATAAAGAGGCCAGACATCAAAAGGCTTCCAGTCATCCTGCAAGCGCGTGACTTGGGACGCTTCCCCGCGGCCGGCAAAGCGCGGCTGCTGAGAGGGGAGCTCTTGAGAAACTGTTTACTCTCAACATTGTGTCCTCCTGAATCCACACGTGGGCAAGAGGCCTTCAAAGGGTGGTGACGGGAAGAAGGCGGGATCCTAGCTTTCAAGATAAGGAGCTTTAAGGAGCTTTCCGCCAGGGCAGGAAGTGGAGGGCTGTGGGTGCCCTCGGGGGCAGTCAGACCAGATCGGCACCAAAGTCTGGAAATATTCGGCTGTGTATGCAACAGATAATACAGCTTCCTTAACAGTTGTGATTCAAAGAATTAGGAGATCTGATCTTTAATAGTTAAGCTACCAATGCTAGGGGGTCTCCCCATGCTATACAGAAGGAGGTGTTCTTGAATTTAGTAAGTTGCTAGCGCTGTATGTGGTAAACAGTAGCTTAATATTTGGTAAATATTTGCTTGATAGACATCTGCCGAGTGAAAAGGCGTCCCAGAGGGCAGACTCAGCAGCAGAAGCCGAAGGTATCTCTAGCCGCCTACAGGCTGAGGTTGGGCTGGGTTTTTCCTTTTCCAAAGGGTAAGAGTCAGCTTTGAACACCTGCAGAGCCCACAGAGCGCTCACAGCACCTGTTACCCTAGGCCTTGCCTGTCCCACAAGCCCTGCTGTGAGCCTGGAGGGCTCAGAAGCTGCCCAGGAAAAGGGGAGAGGGCCAGTAAGAGCAAGATGGCGCCCCCAAGGCAAGTGTCCCTCCACACTGTTGTCATGGATTTGGGAACTTGCTTGGAGACCTGAAGGACTGACGGCAGGACTTTGCATCACCCAAGAGTGACCTGAGAATGCATAGGACCCTCCTAGATGTCCTTCAAGGACAGGGAACGAGAGACGGGGTAGCTGTGCAAGCAGAACTAGACAAGCACCCCACCCCCTGCCCTTTGCTCCCTCTGTTCTCCCCCCCGCTCCCGCAACCCGAGATCTGGTTCCACCAGCGCTTTGGGGCTTTATCACGGCATAACCATTTCCTCCTCCTCCTCAGCATCCTGGGCATCATCGCAGCATGGCCAGAACTTCGTCTTTTCGGGTTCCAGCAGTACTTACCTTTGGAAAACACAGTTGAAATCCCTCTTACCTCTGAGCAGTAATGATGAAGCTGAGAACTTCTTCTTCTCCAGACAGATGGCTCGTATCAAAGATGACGCTGAATTCATACTAGAAGAGAGACATTTGGCATCAGCAGGCATTCCAAACTGAACTGTTAGCTACAACCTTCCCCACTTATGGCCCCTGGAAAATCAAGCTTTATTAGCATGCATATATATTTTATTAATGTTTTTATTTTATTTATTTATTTATTTATTTATTTATTTTTGTTTTTATTTATTTTAGAGAGAGAGGGAAGAAAGGAAAGAGAGAGAGAGAGAGAGAGAGAGAGAGAGAGAGAGAGAGAGAGAAGAGAAGAGAAGAGAAGAGAAGAGAAGAGAAGAGAAGAGAAGAGAAGAGAGAAACAGCGATCGGTTGCTTCCCATACCCACCCCAACCAGGGGTTGAACTCACAACTTGGGTATGTGCCCTGACCGGGAATCAAACCAGTGATCTTTCAGTACATTGGACAATTATCAACCAACTGAGCCACATGGCCAGGGTTGTATGCATCTCTTTTTGATCGTCAGTCCTGAGACACAGCTTTAACAGTAAAAACCACTCTGCCAAGAGGCACACGGTCCTTTTCAACAACAGAGATTCTCTTTAGGAAGTGATATGTTTGTCTCTTAAACAAGGACTTTCTAAATTTCATTCACACACCATGTTCCCAATTTTTGGCCACATCTGCATACCCTATCACCTGTGATATTTACTTCATATTTTCATTACCTCACTCACTTTGTCTAAAGACTATTTTAAAAGGAAAATATATACCACGATCGCCGACGGGAATCCAAGATCACTTGCCCAAAGAGAAGGTAGTCATCAAATAGGTGTAATGAACACAAAGCAATGCTGACTTTTGTTGCCTGCTGAAGGCTCCGAGGCTAAGGTCTCCTCTATTTTGGTAGAGGGAGATAAATAAGTGACAGCAAGGTGCTAAAGGTATGCTACACTATTGTAGACCTTATCCTGGATGTGGTCAGAACTGAAAAAGCGTTGAAAGGTAATAACTTTCTCACTGTAAGAGTCCATGTTGTTTAGTGCTATGTCCATATATCACCTAAAATCATCTCAGGTACCTCCAGTGGTAAGCATCCTGTGATTTGGGGAACACTGCCCTAAGCACATGCTTTTCACAATCAATCTATCTATCATCTATCTATCTATCTATCTATCTATCTATTATCTATCTATCTATCTATCTATCTATCTATGTGTATATATACACACGCACACACACATGCACATACATTACACACACACACATATGTATATATCAGGCATGTGTAGAAATGTGGGAGGAACCCTTGGGTTGGGGTTAGAGAACCAGGCTCTATCACAAACTGATCATGTGATCATCGCCAAGACACTTAACCTATTTGCATTTCAATAAAAAGAAGAGGGTGGACAAAATGATTCTTAAATTCCTTTTAAGCTCTGTGAGTCTATGACCTATTTAGTATCTAAATGGTTAGGTTCCTTGATGACTAATTCTAGGCTGTGGTCTAACATTGCAAGACTGGGCTCAACCTGTGGGTCGCGACCATCGGAAAACACATATAGCATATCAGATATTTACATTACGATTCATAACAGTAGCAACATTACAGTTATGAAGTAGCGACGAAAATAATTTTATGGTTGGGGGTCACCACAACATGAGGAACTGTATTAAAGGGTCGTGGCATTAGGAAGATTGAGAACCACTAGTAACTAAACTGAATGCTGCCTGAAGGGACCGGACCTTGGACGGTTACATGGGACCATCATCTACAGTGGCCACTGAGCATCCCTATCTAGACAGACATTTCTGCTGCCGTGGGACTTGTCAGCTGACAGGGGTCAGGACAGGAAGCAAAGCTGGACGACACAAAGGAAGGAAAGTCAAGGGTCTTGTCCCAGCAAAGAGTCAGAACTGGCAGGAGATGTGAACACACTGGACATCAAGGTGAGGTGAGAAAGCAAGAGACCTAGGCCAAGAAGCCAAAATCAGAGACGGAGGGCTGGGAGAACAGGTCAGAGACACAGCTAAGCAGAGTAACCGGGCCATGCAGTCATGATGCTTGGCTGGTGGTCTTGAGCCCAGTGACCCACAGGGCCTGGGGAATCAGGAGGGCAATGCCAGGCTGTGGGACAGAGGGAGCCAGTGTCCATGCTGAATCACTTCTTGAGCTTTCTTCCAGGCACTTTCTTTCAGATCCCTGACTCTATGTTTACCGTTGCCACAGGTCTTAACCTCTGTATGTGGGAGGATGGCAGTGCATCCCCACGTAGGGAAAAAAGTCAATATTCCAATGTTCATACTTCTGTTGGTTCCATAACTATTTTGAAAATTAATGAATTTTGACAAAATGTAATGCCCCAGATTTCCATAGTGCCTTGTTTTCATTTTTATGATGACCTTCTCTTTATGGCAAGTGATCCTGGGTCTACTTGTGACAGAGATATCAATTCTCCTTTAAAAGTAATCTTTAGACTAAAATTAGGAAGGCACACCTTGGGTTTGATTTGGGACGTAGACTGAATTTCATAATAAATTGGCAACTGTGAAGAATCTTTCAATTGTCTATTTTCTATTGCTCAATAGATTTCCATTAAATTTGTGAGTGATGTGCCACATACATTACTATTGGACATTGGGCCATTATATTGATTTCCACGGTTCAGGGTATTCCTTCCTCATCTGACTTGGAGTCTAACAGAACCTGACCTCTATTCTTCCAGCTACTAGTAACCCCTTTTCTAAGGCCAGCCACCTTCACATTTCCCTCCTCCTGGGATGCATGTGGGCAGCTGAGAAAGAGAACCAGAAAAAGGCTCAGCAATCACAGATGTATTGGTAAGAGCTACAGACCTTTGGAGCAGGTTCTTCCAATGAGGCCGATGGGTTCAATGATTTTTTTAAAAATATATTTTATTGAATTTTTACAGAGAAGAAGGGAGAGGGATAGAGAGTTAGAAACATCGATGAGAGAGATCGATCAGCTGCCTCCTGCACAGCCCCCAGTAGGGATGTGCCCACAACCCAGGTACATGCCCTTGACCGGAATCGAACCTGGGACCCTTGAGTCCGCAGGCTGATGCTCTATCCACTGAGCCAAACCAGTTCGGCAAGGGTTCAATGATTTTTAAGAAATAAGCAAGTCTTCTTTCTCGCTAGAATATTTCCAAAATTGGTTTACTAAACAGCTACCATGTACTGGGGCCAGAAAGTCTTAGGAATTAAAATGATTTGATTCTATGACATAGGTAGGAGAGAAGGGTCAAGCTTTCATTTATTCTAGGGGGGGGAAAGGTAGACAAAGGAAGATGACCTTTTCTTCAAATCACAGCAGGAAAAATAGCTTCCATTTCATAAGGCAGGCCTGGTCTTTTAAATTCTAGTTTTGTCTCCAAAAATCGCATCTTCTATGTACGCCTTTCTGCATCTCCTTATAATGATGGCTCATGTGAGAATGCCCCGTGAGTGTCTGAATATGCTGTGCCATGGTATTGCCTGAGCTTAGAAAATGCGGCTCCTTATACATATCCAAATGGTTGTCATTTCTTTTACTTAAAAAAGTGAAGTGCAATACAATTATTTATGTTTTAAGCATTTTAAGAAGTCTCTTAAGAAAACTGTGAGGGCCCAGGGGGGTCAGGACTGTGGGTCACTAGGACAGACCACCCACATCGTCTCCTATGTTGCCTCTGGGACTCAAAGTGGCGTGCAATGTCCCAGAAAAAAAAATCATTTCAAGGAGGCCAACCAGATGCTGCCTGCCAAACTGCTAAGACCATGCTGTGTCTCTCACATTTGGGGCATGTCATGTGGGTCAAAGAGAAAGACCACGTGACCATGGCCCCTCTGGAGTAGACTGCCATGGACAAGAGGGTTACCATACCCCAGCTCCTGCAGGAGGAAACCCCGGAGGAGGCAGCTGGCGGAGTCAGGGGCTGGTGGGAGGGTCTGGGGGCTGCTCCCAAGGAAGTGCCCCACTCCGCCCCTTACCTTCGACTTGGACCTCATGAAAGGGAATCCCACGCTGCATTTGAGGAAGTCCGATTCCAGCAGTTCACAGGAAATGCCCATTTCCTCCTGAAAGAGAGAAAAACACCAACAGATGGGCCGGCTGCACAAGACAGATGTGGACATGGCCTCGGGGAGGCAGATGGAGACTTCGGCAGACAGGGTCCGTCTTTAGTTCCCAGACAACAGCCATTGTGGGCTGTGGGGGGACGAGGAGCCGCTGACCAGCACGAGTCCCAGGCCTCTTCTGGTGCCCACCCTTCCGTTGGTTCCCTGGGAGGACAGGTGCAGGGGACAGAACCACTCTTCATTCTCTGCTAACACATGGGCTCTGAACCCCCGTGCTCTCCTGGGACACGGGATGGGGCCACATGTGAGCTGGACACCTCCTCTGCTTTGGATGAAAAGGCAGCCCCGTTGTCTTTCTAGCCCCTTTCTCCTAAGCCCACACCCTAATCCCGCCTTTCAAGACCTTGCTGGTGTAGGAAAGTCAAACTCTAAGAAAATGACACCCACGAAAATACAGGGATTCTTTCGACAGCCAGAGAAGTGAGAAGAGCTGACCTGCTCCCCTACAAGCCTCCCTGGGGTGGGTCAAGGGCAAGGACAGGTTAGCCCAACCGCCATGGACTCTTCATGGGATGGCCGGAGAACTAAGGGAGGGGCACAGGGAGCCGCTTTTCCCACCGGAACACATGGTTTCCAACCAAGGCCAGAGGAAAGCCAGGAGGCTCTCCATACCCTCCCTGCTTCTCCAGGTCACTGCAGCAAATCAGGACTTCCAAGGGGAGTTGGTATGTTTGCAGATTTTGGAGAAGGGGAGACACAGGGCGGAACTAGCACTTGCTGAGGGTCCAGAAGCCGGACACTGAAATTCAATGGGGCCGTGTGACCTCCCCAAGGTCATGCTAAAACCTGTCTCCTTCCCTGTTCCACACAATGGAACCAATTGACAAAAGGAACCAATGGACAAAAGGAACCAATCCCTGTGGATCCAGCTCTGAAATGCCCGTGCTTCCTGCTCCAATTTCCCAGACCCCCCTCCTCAGCTCAGACCAGCTGTTCCAGACCTTTAGACAAGTACGACCAACATTTCCTGTTGTGTCCAATCAGGGGGGAAAAAAAGTGACCACTTACTATAACAGACCTATTCAGTTATAAATTATAAACCTATACTGCCATACTTACATAGCAGGAACATTATCAAACACACAAAAAGTACAAATGCTAAAAGATAACCAATCCATGGGCTTAGAAGTCAAGATAGCAACCGGGGAGGCAGTAAGTGGAAGGGGCTGCGTGGGTGCTGGGAATATTCCTGGGTGTGATCGTTGTGAAATTCGATGAGCTGGGCACTTAATGATTTGTGTAATTTGCTCTGTTTGTTAAACAGCAATAAAACTTAAAAAAAAAAGCAACAAAACAAAAATCCCTCCAAAATACAATGAAGTGAAAAACAGGAGACACAGAAATAGCAAAGGCAACTCTATCTCTTTAGCATCCAATCTTGGGGATTACCGACGTCGGGGATTATACGTTTTCTAATGGCTCTCAGGGACCTTGGCGAGCGTTTCTCCCACGGACTCGGGACCCCGTGCGTTAGAATCCGCTTGGGAGCATCTTTAAAAATACAGATTCCCGGGTTCCATCCCAGTCGCCTCTGCGTGGACAACTGAGTAGATTCCGAGACAGTGGGGCCTGGGAAAAGCATGTTCCATGAATGTTAAGTGATAACGTGGGTGAGCCTGCTGCACGGTGCTTGGGAGCCACTGCCAGGGGCTTTCCTTTTGTTGGTCCATCCTACCGGCTGCTCGAGGGGCCTTCCTAAAACATGCCTCTCTCCACTGCAAACAGAATGGAGCTTAAACCCATTTGGACCCATATTCCTGTCACTGTCCCCCTGCCCCACGGAGCACCTACATTGCTGTTCTACAAACACCCTGACCCGGCCGGGACCATTTCCACACTCTGTGGAGGCTGTTCCTCGGCCCTACTCCAAGGTTTTCTTCACCCGTCCTGGCCCCCAAACACTCGGGGTGGTGGGTTCACACACAGAATATGGTTACGGTGCAGGGTTCAGAATGGGCCCTGAGCATCCCTGGGGAGCTGAGTCATCCTATCCACTACCAGGATCGTGACGGATGTCAGTCCTTGAACTTGAAGAGCTCGGGGACTAGAAGGGGACGTCCTCCCAGCAAAGAAGCAGACATTTACATGGCAGTGCGAGGGGCTGCCCTCGGCACCCAGGGGACGTGTGTTGGCAATTTCAATAAGAAAAACCAGAGAGTAATTTCTCAAATGTTGTCTCGAGACCTGCATATCCCAAAGACGCGTCTGATGGTTCTCTGTGGGTGGCCTTTGGTCACCATCCTCTTCCTCATGCTCCTCACCCCAGAAGCAGTGCCCACAACGGGCCCAACTAAAAGCTCCTCTAAATTCCAGCTAATTGGCTTGTGGGCCTCAGAGGCAGCAAGCCCAGTCCAGGGTGACCTTCGCTCTCGGTCTCCCTGGGACAGTCCTGGTTCATGTCTGTCATCTGG